AAGTATTCTCGAAACAGTTGAATTGGATGTCTCAGGCTTTCCCGATCCGTGACGTGGAAGGGAATCCCATCATCCATGCTATCGATAACTTGCGAGTTTAGATATAGACTCGAGTGTGGGTCTTGCAGACACGCGTGTGGGCGGCGTCCCTTTTTTTTGTCATGCCCAATCGGTTGGATCAAATCGACTGGCTATCCTTTGGTCGGGGAATCGTCTGATCAGTTCGACATGCCCGCCCAACACGTGGCCCTTACACTCTCGGGTGCGCGCGTCAAGAAACAGATGTTAGGAAGGCAATCATAGGGTAATCACACATTTGAATCAGCCATCATACATCAGCCCGAACTGCCGATTTTTCGATAGACTTTCCTTTCTGCCCAAAAACGTACAGGAAACTGGCATGCATACGAGTGATCCGGCAGAGACAGTGTTAGCAATCAGGTGATTGGTCCGCCAGGCAACTTAGTTTCGCAAACGCATTTTCCCAATACTCATGCATCAATCGAGCTTAAGGGTTGTGCGAATTTCCTGAAAAGCATAAATGAGAGATCGACAAAGGTTTATGCACCGAGCCATGGAACTGAAAGAGACAACATCGTCATAACCGAAGCTCACTGAGGTCACGCGTAGACAATCGTCATAGCCGATCACACCGTAATGAAGTAAAACAGGAGTGAAGGGGGGAGGAAATCAAACTGATCGCTAAGAAACAAAAAAAAAACACGAACAGGGGACAATCATAAGTAGAAGAGGGCCGACGCCACTTGTCAAAACTACACAGACGAAGAAAAGAAGGACACCATTCCACACACAAAATCCAAAGGTTGACGCATCCAACTTGAGCGCAGAATGGGGACTTGAAAGCGACGAAATTCGAATTAAGCCAGCATCCAAAGATTGCGTGAAAGGGGGGGGGGGGGGGGGGGGGGGGGGGTGAGGGAAGCGCGCGAGTTCATTCTTCATAAACCATAAACAAAAAATCCGAGACGATTCACAAGGAGATCCGACACGGCCGCAACAAGTTCGGCGAAGGTTGAAATCAAAATTTATACAGGGGGTTAGAGGAAGGCATCATCCCACACACACATCTCTCTCTCTCTCTCTCTTTCTCTACGCCACATCACCTCCGATGCGGGTAGTTCATCGCCTCGCACCAACACCGAGTCGTCACCCCGCTTAGTCCGGCCACGCAAGCCAAGTTTGTCCGTGCGTCACAGTCCGTCGTGGCCTGCACGTCAACCCCGCCTACCCGGCACCAGCTCGTCGGGTCGCCTGACTCACTTCTGCTCATCTTCCCACTTACTCGTTAGCTGATCCTCACTGACCGCGCTAATTCCCCAATTCTTAGAGAGAATACTAATCGCGCTTGCGAAATTTATAGCGTGCATGCTTGCGCGAGGAACCCGGAATTATGCCTAAGTGAGAGGAAGGGGAAGAGAAGGAAGTGCCTACGCCTGCATGGCCAAGCCGCGACATGGGGGACGCAGCCCCACTCAAGGCATGCAGTCGTTTAGACCAATTAGAGTGGAGGACGAGGTATGCACAACAAAGGGGGAGAAGGCGGGGAAACACACGAGAATCAAGAAGAAGGAGTTACAATCGTGCCCGCCAAAAATTACAGTTACACGCCGGATTAAGGGCGCGATACAGTCAGAGCCCAGTCCCCACTGCGGTGAGAGGTGCGCAAGCAAGAAGCGCAGCGCAACAAAATTTCAGAGTACCTAAATTCCTAGTCTAAATCCTATTTGCAAAAAGAAATTCCGAAAAGACAGAAAAACAATTTCGAGAGACCGCCATCCGTTGTAAATTTGAAAAACGATATTCCCTCGCGCTAATCGCGCCAAAATTCCCATCTCCCACAACAGAACAAGAAAGAAGCTATGGCAACCGTTATTTATCGCGCTCGGTAAGGCGCGGTCACTCAATCGTCTGCACAGAACTTTCCCGGCCCTGGTCCCAAAAGCCAAAGAAGATGGAAGCGATGGGTATCCATGCAATTCGTCCAGCCGACCCTTATCTATGCATTCCCCCACGACCAACCAGTCCCCAACCCCCGAGGCCGCTTCGTGCAGAAAGTCGTGCGATTGCAGAAAATAGTTCGTCATAGGCCTAGCTCAGTTGGTTAGGTACGCAAGTGGCATTCAGGAGGTTGTCGGTTCGAGCCCCACAATCGCCTGCTGCGCACTTAGTGCCAACCAGCGGTGATAGTCTGCTTGATACGTCTGATTGGGAATAGCAGGGTCCTTGGTCAACACGGGTGTGAGTGTGAGTGGGTTGTGTGTGGTGTGTGGGAGAGTGTTGGCCTTAGACACTGCTGTTATTCGGTTGGGGGTGGGGTACGATGAAAAGGGAGGCGCAGCCACTGGCAAAATGCTCGGTCTTTGTGTTAGCCGGACCGCCGGTGGGTGTGAGTGTGAGTGGGTTGTGTGTGGTGTGTGAGAGAGTGTTGGCCTTAGACACTGCTGTTAAGTGTGAGTGGGTTGTGTGTGGTGTGTGAGAGAGTGTTGGCCTTAGACACTGCTGTTATCCTGTTGGGGGTGGGGGACGATGAAAAGGGAGGCGCAGCTACTGGCAAAATGCTCGGTCTTTGTGTTAGCTGGACCCCCACGGGCGGCCCCACCCCATCCTTGACCACCATGGTTGGGGCGGGGGGCAACATGCATCCCCTGTCTAAGCAGTAGGAGTACTGGTAGGTAGGTAGTGAAGGTGAATTGAAAGAATTGGAAAGATGATGAAAGATTTGAGAGAAGAACATAGCGTAGTGAAACAAACAAAAAAAAAACCCTACAAACACGAAGTTCAGAAAAGAAAAGAAAACAAAATGAAAATCAAAGACGACGAATAGACATCCAATATCCGACCTCGTTTAGAGGACAGTCCCGAGAACAACCCACCAGTAGTACAGCGCAGACAAGGGGACAAAATATCGTTAGAGGAAAAACTGTGAACTTACTCTACTGTGCACACGACAACGACCTACTGTGCTTATCACAACGACCACTTGGCGTCATTCAATGGATGTGGATCTGGAACCACTCTTTTATATATCTAATCATCTAATGTAATGTATGTATATGTAATGGTGAGTAGTGGAGCGAGGCCCTATGGCATATGCAGTTCAGCTGCCTGGCCGTTACACGATGGCCACCCTCGGAACTACCACTTTCATTTTATTTTATTTTATTTACAACAACTTGGACTCCAATCTATTGGTGGGAACCACTTTCCAAGAATACGATACGAAAAGTGGTAGTTCTAATAGATAATAGAACAGAATAGAACTACCATTTTTCGTATCGTATTCTTGGACAGTGGTTCCCATGTTCAACTGCGGCCTCCACCGCTGACCTTATTGTATCCATCTGAGCCCATCCAAGCCAAGGATTCGAACTCTGGCCGTTTGAGTAACATTTCGTGCACCATTCAGCCAGAGTCAGATGGAACTGGGCGTAGAAATTTACCGGTTCTCCCTCGTTGAGTCGTTTCTACGGCAGGTGTGGAACTGGGGGTAAGAACGCGGACGGATCTCGGCAGTGCCGACCCAACATCTCGGTACCGGCGCCAAGAGTTACTGGCGGCCTTAGGATACCATCGTGGAACTGGACGGATCCCGGCAGTGCCGACCCAGTTTCTGGATTCGAACTCGCGTGAGTCTGTATTTCAACAGTTCATAAGGTGTACCAACTGCGCTAGGGCAGGTGGTCATTTTCGTCTATTTTCGATTTTGTGCCTCTAATCCACGAGGGCGCACACGTATGCGGATAGTGTTCCCCGCGCTCCGGCCATTTTTTGAAAGCATCGCCTTCGGCATCGCGATTCGCTGGCCATGGAAAACATCGAATCGATGACGGTGTACCGCCCTTCGGTGTCTTCTCGACGACACCAGCCTACTGAAGTGAACGGTGAGCGGGCCCCACTCGAGAGGATGTGGGCCGCTCACGCACCGTGGAGCTGCTAGATTCGTGAGCAATTAGCAGCAGATCGGGAAGCGGCAACTACCCGCGCGAATCCTGTTCGTGATCCTGGGCATGCGACGGCAAGTGAGTCGACTGTTGGCCGTGACCTTGGCGGGCCGGCGCCTCCACGGTGTCCATCTCGCGCGCTGGTGAGCAGACGTACACGGTGGATGGGCGACAGAAACATGTGCGCGCCCAATTTCTGTCTTCTTGCCGCCGGCCCCGCTCTGACGAGCGTGTGCGTCCGTACGGTGCATGTCTCGGCGCCTAATTTGTCTTTCTTCTTGCCGCCTGCCCCACTCTGATGAGCGTGTACGTACATACGGTGCATGAGTCTCAGTGGCGGTAGCACGTGTGTCTACTCTTTGGTCTGTTTACTCTCGGTCTTTCTTCGATGCAGCGGCGGCAGGAGGCAAAATTAAACCGTCTGGGAAGTGACGTACCATTGTCCTGATGACGATGCTACGCTATCTGGCCACTCCCTCTCTCTAGCGGGAACGATCGCTACCGCTGTTAGTGTACTGAACCCCGTCTGTTGTTGATCCCGGCAGGGGTCCCATCTGGCGTCCGTCGATGTAGAACCCCCCTGGTTGTTGGATGACCAGAGTGACGAGATGTGTTGTTGACGTCAGTACTCATTTGGGGTTCGGGGGTTAGACGGCTACTACCTAGAGCTGTTTCCAAACTTGCCGCCATGGCTTTCTCCGCCGTGCAGTGAGGCAAGCTCGGCGTCTCTGCCTATCTCGCTTTGTTGCCGTTGTTGTCAACATTTGCTTGCGACGTGCTTGCGGTCGCATGTGCGTTTCCCTGTCCCCCCTCGAGTCTTCTCGTCGTCTGTGCGTTTCCCTGTCCCTCCCTCGAGTCTTCCCGTCGCTCCAGCTGTCTCTTCGTCGTACCGGAGTTCCTTCTCCTCTCCTGGTTATCTCCCTTCCTTACGGCCCCTCGCGTTCGAAGAGGGGCGATTATGGGCCGTTGGCGGGCATCGGGAGGAAGGTGCCGTTATCGTGAGGCGTAGCTGACATGTCACGATCTAGACCCGTTCGTCCGAATCGTGGTGTACGGCCGCCCCGTCGTCCACTCTTTTCTCTGCTGTGCTGATCCTCCCTTCTCTTGAGCAAGCATATAAGCTGATCTATGGAGGTTGCAAATTGCCTCTCCTTGGGCTGTCTCTCTTACTGCGAGCGAACACTGTGTCGGTCAGGAGGTAACCGCACAGGTCGCTCGTCTGGACAGCTTCGCAATAGCTCAAAGTCCTCCCTCGTTCCAAGCATCAACCATGGGGGCGCTTCCGCGTCGTCGTATGCAGCGCTCGGTGACGAGCGAGCGTTCTCCGGCGATGGTGGTAATCTCAGTCTTGCGTATTCCGGTGGCCAGCAGCTCGATGTGCCCGCGGTCCCGCGCGCACGTGTCCCGACTGCATCTGGCGGAACGGAGGCGCAGCTCGCGCGCTCGAGCGGTCGTCGAGCGCGGATCGGATCGTCCAGACCTGCGGCCGAAGAGTCCAGATCCGGACAGGTGCCGGTAGCTGCTGTAGCTGGAGTGAACTCGCCTGCTTCGCCGTCGATCCGGCGGTCCCAACGGCGATCTCTCGGTGTCATCGGATCGCTCTTGTCTCCGCCGTGTCCCAAGCCGGGACAGGATCACATCCGTTGGCCCTGGAAGTCCTCGAAATCAGAGGTGACTGGCGATCTTTCGACGTCTGTTTCCGGCCGCTCGATCGTCGGCCTTGGTTCGAGTCGGAATCAGGGGGGCGACGCGCACGCCTGCGGTGTTGTTGGTCAACCAGCGTTGACGAAGAATAGGTTGCCACGTGGCAACGGATTTCCATCCCATCATGATGAGACGGAGAGGAGGAAGGCGACGGCGAATGCGAGTAGTCGGGCGCTCGTGGTGGACACGTGGCATTCTGGCCCGCTTGGCGGAGGGTTCGCGCAGTCGGAGGGATGCGCCGCGGAACTGCTCCCATCAGCGATGAAAATGGCAAGAATAGGAGGAAGGGGAGGAGGTGGTACGGATGGACGTGGATGCGAGGATCGCCTGCCCAGGAAGGGAGGTCGACAGCGGGCAAAGCTTCGAGGAGAGGAGGGAGGCAATAATACGCGGAATGCAGGGGATGGGGGAAACATCATGGAGGAGGGGGAAAGAGGAGAGAGGGGCACGGGATTGGCGCGGGTGGTTGGGGCTGGAGGGGGGAATGTGGGAGGAGGCGGGGGCAGACAAGCAACGAGGCGCGGGAGGAGAGGAGTAGCGCGGATAGGAGTAGGGGGGGAGGGAGGAGGGGGAGGAGGAGGAGGAGGACAAGGCTTTGATACGGCAGGGCTTAGTCTAGCCATTGGTATGGGCTTAGGATTAGGAGGTGTGGGCATGGGTGCGTTTATGCAGTCCATGAGTGGCTTGGACAGACATGGAGGACGCTTGCAAAGGATTGTCGCTGCTGAGGAAAATGCTGCCGATGATGAAGTATTGGAGAAAGATGGCGATGGAGCTGCCAGCGGGTTCAATTCCGGCACACAAAATAAGGTGAGAAAGATGGGTGTGGTGTGACCGTTTAACAAGTAATGATCAATAATGATCAATCATCGCCGAGCGAAAGGTTTCGGTGGATTTTTGTGCGTGTGGCGTTGCTACGCAATACAATCAATCACTGCAGGGAGATCAAAAGTAGCTGGATTCATGTGTGTGGAATGTTACCGAGCAATACTGTAAAATTAATCGATGTATGAAGATAAATTTTGCTTGATTTTCAAATGGCATATTCGATATGATGTTGTTATTGCTTGTGCGTGTGCATGTGTGCGTGTCCATTCAAGACATCGTCGTGAGTGTCAGGGTTCGAGCCTTGCCACCAACAGACAAAAAAATTGCTGTCAGGCAAGTGAATCGGAAATCAAAAGCGACATATTGAGAAGCTCGCAGTGATCAGAAATACATAAAGATCTTAAACGGGGATGCAAATTGAAACTAAGGGGCTCTATCAGGGGACTCTTTTTTTTCTTTTTTTTCGTCAAATCTTACTTTATATTCCAAAACAAGAACCACAATTCAACCCGGAGTTATCCCGGTCTTACAGCCAGTTGGCTGAATCAGGGAACTGACTTCTTCTGCTTACCAACTTTTATCACAGAAAACCGACAAGGGTCTGGAAAATATCTAGGGACAGAAATGGCCAAAACCGGGCCGCTGCCCTGAAATCCCAACCTATCAGGGGACTTTTATGGTCCCTCGGTTGGATGCCCCCGCTCATTTTTTTTCTCAATATCGAATCTCGTTTCTATCCCAGTTGTGGAAAACGGCACTCCGTCGCTCTCTCTCCGTCTATCTTTCTCTATGTACATATATATATCTCTTTGTATCTCTCTGTCTATTTATGTCTCTCTGTCTATTTATGTCTCTCTGTCTATTTATATCTGTTCATCTATCTATATCTCTGTCCTCTCTTTCTCTCTCTCCCCTCTCTCTCGTCCCCCTTTCTCTCTCCCCTCTCTCTCGTCTCCCTTTCTTTCTCTCTCTCCCTCCTTTTCATTCTCTGCAGCTCAATACTTTTCCTATGAGAAAGAGGGCTTCCCAGTGGTATGACGCAGGCCGCAGTCGGCTATGTCTAGGCCTCAATGAGGAGATCTGACGACCAAAAGCTGCTGGCCAAAATTATGACCGGGTTAAGCTGCCGGCCAAAATGGCCTGTTACCAAAGAGAGGGCTTCCCAGTGGTATGACGCAGGCCGCAGTCGGCTATGTCTAGGCCTCAATGAGGAGATCTGACGACCAAAAGCTGCTGGCCAAAATTATGACCGGGTTAAGCTGCCGGCCAAAATGGCCTGTTACCAGGCGTTGGATTGCGGAGCCTATAGGTAGATGCATACCTTGGTGGGCCATGTCACAGGGCCTCGCTCCACTACTCTCGACATGCACAAGAGAATAGATATGGCGTATGTGTCATGTTCTGGCCCCAGTCGGCTACGTCTAGGCCTCAATGAGGAGATCTGACGGCCACAAGCTGCTGGCCAAAATTATGGCCGTGACAAGCTGCTGGCCAACATTATGGCATGTTCCCAGCCATTGGATTGCGAAGCCTTGAGGTAGATGCATACCTTAGTGGACATGTCACAGGGAGGAGATCTGACGGCCACAAGCTGCTGGCCAAAATTATGGCCGTGACAAGCTGCTGGTCAAAATTATGGCATGTTCCCAGCCGTTGGATTGCGGAGCCTTGAGGTAGATGCATACCTTAGTGGACATGTCACAGGGCCTCGCTCCACTACTTCCACTTGCACAAGACTACTTCCACTTGCACAAGAGACAAGAAATATGCATATATGTCATGTTTCTAGCGGAAGATTCTCATTTTGCACATTTGGTGAGCATGGGAGCGAGGCCCACGTACCTTAGTGGGCCATGTTACAGGCCCTCGCTCCGTTACTCTCCATGTTACAGGGCCTCGCTCCGTTACTCTCCTCCTGCACAAGGGACAAAGAATATAATGGCGTATGTGTTATTTTCTAGTGGAAGATTCATTCTCGTTTTGCACAATTGGTGAGTACTGGAGCGAGTCCCATAGTGTATTGTAGTCAACAGCGTTCTAGTTGTCACAACTGATCAGTGAGCTTGCGGGAGGTGTCGTGCTAATCATTCAGCAGAGGGTGGAGGTGCAATCCTCCGTTCTGTAGACTTTTTCTTTCTTTTTTGGTCCCCGGCGGGCCGGTGTGTACTTATTTCTCGTGTTTTTTTCCCCCTTGAAAGAAAAAAAACTACGCTGTATTCTTCTCTCAGATCTTTCATCGTCTTTCAAATTCTTTCAATTTGCCTTCACTACCTGCCTACCACTACTGCTAAGGCTTACACAGGGGATCCCTGCGAACATAGTTTTGTCGTCTCCCTCCAGCCATGAGAAGGGATGCATGTTGCCCCCCGCCCCAACAATGGTGGTCAATTCCACCAGTCTTTGAGCGTTGGAAAAAAAAACAGAAAAAACAGAAATAGCATTGGATAGACTGAAACAAGGACGTATACCGGCCTGGTCGCTGGCTTACACAGTGGACCCCTGCGAACATAGTTTTGTCGTCTCCCGCCAGCCATGAGAGGGGATGCATGTTGCCCCCCGCCCCAACAATGGTGGTCAATTCCACCAGTCTTTGAGCGTTGGAAAAAAAAAAAAAAAGCATTGGATAGACTGAAACAAGGACGTATACCGGCCTGGTCGCTGAACTGTTTGCACACGTAACTATTGCTAAACAGATCGGTCGCTGAACTGTTTGGACACGTAACTATTGCTAAACAGATGGAGTTCAAGTACCATGAAATATTTTAGGTGCCTGGCCGCGTCCAAAGGAGAATTGCAGTTGAACAACGGGCTCATGTCTCGATCACAGTCTAGATAGCTGCGTTTATTATTCAAGATGGGACGCTGGACATTCCAGTTTCCACCGTCACACAATTACGAGCATGTTAGTAATTGGTAGTTGCGACGTCTTTTTTCTCCTTTTTGTCCGTTTGCTGTGTAATTGTCCAGTTTCCCCCCCTTTTTTTTTTTTTTTTTTTTTTTTTTTTTTTAAAGGGTGACGGCCTTGAGATAGTGGTAGGTATTGAAAAGAAAGATATGTTCCATGACATGGCAGAACGCCAGTTAAAAGAAAGATATGTGAGGTGAGAGAAAAATATATGGCTGTCCCCCGATGAGGAGAAGGCAGCTTAAAAAAAAAAGGGAGATATTATCATTGAGCTGACCAGTCCCAAGCAATTCATTAGTAGTTGGTTTTACTCGTCAAGTTCCATCATCTGGATTCGAACACAGGTCTGTATTTCGACAGTTCATCGGTGTGCCCACTGAGCTAGGCTCTTGGGTCCCCTTTTCTTTTTCAATTAGTTTGCAGAGATGTGGGACGGTGGACCCGGTTTCCAGCACAAGCCCAACTGGGTAATGGACGCAGATCCCATTCTCCGGGTTGTTTGTTGAGGAATTCCCGGCCTCAAACCTATTCATAGTAATGGAACCTGCAATTGCAAGCAAAAAAAAGAAAAAAGAAAAATGAAAAGTACTATAGATTCATGGAATATATAATTGTACTATGGATTCATGGAATATATAATTGTACTAAGGATTCATGGAATATATAATTCTGTGAGGGCTTAATCCGTTCTATCTCAAGAAAAAGAAAAATCAAAGGTGCAGAATTGCGGAGTACTCTGTAAGCATCTTTCAGAACATGCGTCGGAAATTGGAACTAGACTGAAACATCAGCGTGCTCCCAGCAACGATAAGGTATAGGGTCTTCGTTAGCTATATTGATTTGTGTTCTGTATATTGTTAAAAAGAAAACAAGCACCCTCTAGCTGATCGTGATCGTAACTCTGATAGGAATCGTAACTCTTTTTTTTTTGTTGTTGTTGTTGTATTTTTAACACAACCCAAGGTCTTTATTAGAAATACAAAACGGGGAGGGTTGGCCATATTGGCCATGGCCACTGCTGCTACTCGATGGGGGGTGGGGGAAGTATATGGGAGGCGCAGCTACTGGCAAAATGCTCGGGTTTTGCGTTAGCCGGCTCCCCCCACCGGCGGCCGCACCCCACTCCCTGACCACTGCCCGATTACTCACTGAACACCGCCCTATTAGGGCGGGGGGCGACATGCATACCCTGAATTGTGAGAGCCAGCTATGATTGCAGGGGTCCCCTGTAATAGGCTTAGGAGTAGTGGTAGGTAGATAGTGAACTGTGAGACTCAGAGAAGAATATAACTGAGTAAAAAAAAAAAGACAAAGAAAGGACCTTGCCACACCACCGTCGGAAAAATAGAAGTGCATCTGCCCCCCGAAGAGTGGGAAGATGCATCGGGTACTATTCATAGTAACCGATTCATCTTGCCACTCTTTGCGGGAACACGTGATCCTTTTTCCGTTTTTCGGCAGTGGTGTAGATACCGTTGGCCGTAACTGGAAGTGGGCCAACTCTCTTTTTCTTTTTCTTAGGACTGGTAAGCAGTGTCTAACAAGGCCCTTATTCTTCTCTGTTCCCGCAAAGAGTGCCAAGATGCATCCGTGACTATTCATAGTTAACCGATGCATCTGTTGTTTAACCTATGCATCTTGCCACTCTTTGTCGGAACATGCAATCCTTTTTTTCAATTCTTTTTTTCAATCTTTTTTTTCAATTGTTTTCGTTTTGACAGTTGAGGCCCTTTATCCTCTCTTTATCTCTCCAATTCTGGAAGTTGCTAACTCTCTTTTTCTTTCGTTTTCTTAAAAAAAAGGAAGATGGACTTGAGTTGTTGTCCAACTGATTGCGGCTTGGCAGCCATCTACTTTCTGGGGCTGGGTGACACAAGGGAAAAGGTCCCACTAGCAAAGAGGATTCAATTTAATGCCTGAGGCTGGACATGTTCGTGGAGAGGTGCCGAAAATAGGCTGTTGGTCTACTTTTCTGTATCTCTGCTTAAAACACATCCAAATTTAGCCTCTTAACCCAATCCAAATCCAATCCACTTTACTAGTGGGATGCTGCTCTAGGAGTGCTGCCCATGAAGTT